GAATTTTAACACTCATTACAACTAGGGTTGCCAAGCGTAAATAAAATAGTGAAACCGTAAAAAAAATACACAAAGTAACTTTCCTGTCTATAATAGAAATGACTTGTCTCGATGAAGATAAAATCCCTAAAACTGCTTTCGTAAAATTTGCGACTTTCTTTAATAAGGCAAGCAATCATCATAAACTAACTTTTATAGAGTCAATTATGTATGGTGATCACTTGACATCAAATAAGCAACAGGTTTGTTTATAAAAACACTCATTAAATATACTCAAATGTCTAGCTACGTTTGCAGACTACTCTAATATTAACATTTCAAGATCGGCAACCCTAACTACAACTTAAAAGGCCTCGGCGCCGTAAAAATGTTTCCGTTCCGATGGGTTTATACTTTATTCGTTTGCATAACGCAGTAATTAGACGAAAAACATAACTTCGTACTTAATTCGACAATTTATTAATTAAATTTTCTATAGCAAGCATCGGCTATAAAACAGTTTACGGCATAGATTAACATCGTAGGATATAACACTTCGCAGTAAACTTTCTAGTTCGAGATACATCAAAACATTATTATTTTATTGCTAAAAGTTTGTGGTTTTATTACAATGGATTAAGGCTGATATCTAACGGTCATTTTGGCGCCAATTAATTTGCTAAGCGCTACACCCACTAAGCTAAAAATAGCCGCAACTAAAAGTGGTTAGTGCTACCGTACATTGACGCCCGTATTCACAAACGATGCTTGCTTGTAACGCAGTAAATCTAACGCACAGCGTTTAATGGAGCTCTGTGATTGGTTCGCGTGTGACCTGTGCGTCCACGCGCTCTGTAAGACCTCATAGTACCTAATGTTTGTGAATACGGGCGTAAGAAACTATTAAACATGTTTTTTTTTGTGGCGTGGCGTGGCATGGCGTTTGTTTGTTGCGATATTATAACATTTAGCACAGTCAGCGTCAAATAGTTCATGAAACCTAAAGTAGCCAATAATTTCGCAAACACAATGTTACAATTGGAATAAGGTTAAGGTAAGGTTATCAATGTTACCTTTGCGCCGACTTAATAATTTCACATTTAACACAGCGCCATCTACTCTCAAACTAAGCACAAGTCATCTCATTTATGACCGGTCAATGTGATAGAAACTATTTTGAGGATTATCGGACTTCGATCTTGCTAATTAACACAGTATAGTTTTAATTGGATTGGAATGTATTTCTTTGTGGACTTTGGAGCCAATATACTTTTAAAGGTCATTTGGACAAAAAACTGTACATACGTTATCAAATTAACACTAAACAAGGTCCATTTATGTGGAGTTATTTAGATTTACGAAATTAAAATCAGAATATCTCATAAATGCTTGTTTTTGCCTACGCATGCATATACATAACTATAGTGGTTTCAAATGGCCTGTACTATTCCTTAGTGGTTACAAGTCACCCCTGTAAACAAAACTTGCTTCACCTAACACATCAAAACGCTTTTCTATGAAGTAGAAGCCCTAATATTTTAAACATTTTTAATTTATGTATGTGTTATAGTCAAACCTCGAAGCTCAGGCGCTCCTAGGTTTGACTAGTCAATCCTCAGATCTAACTAGAAGTCTTAGTCAAAGCCCAAACATTTCGGCCTTTGACTAAAGAATGTTAGTTAAACCTAGGAGAGACTAATTTGGTCAGTCAAACGTCGAAACTGAATTTAATGAAATCGGGGTTTGACTAGTCAAACCTCAATTAAGACTTTAAACTAAACTACACTTCATTTTGATATTGAACTTATTACATAGACTTTACCGACCGACTCTCTCTTTAGGTGAAGGTACGAGTACGAATAACTAAACTTGTTTACTGCGGTAGTTTATCAGTGTTTCTAAACCGATCTTGAAATTATTATTTTTAGGGTTCTGTACCTTAAAGGATTAAGGGTAAAAACGGAACCCTATTACTATGACTTCGCTGTTTGTCTGTCACCAGGCTGTATCTCATGCCTGTCCCAAAATATTTAGTTTTATAGTCACTTTAAAAATCCTCCCCATTCGCCATATAACACTAAAAGAGTCGTACGAAACACTTCGTACGTGAATCCGATTCGAACTTGGTCGGTTTTCTATAATTGCTGCCGGCCTCTGTAACGCTGCGTCTACTTTTGACCGAGTCTGCCAGTCGTTTCTAGGATTGACTAGGCAAAGCCCGAAACAGATTATTTTAGTTTCGACGTTTGACTGAACAGTTTAGGCACTTCTAGGTTTGACTTAGTCAAAGGCCGAAATAAGAATTCACTTCGGGGTTGGCCCGAAGGCTTTGGTCAAACCTAGGATAGACCAGTCATTCCGCGAAGAGACTGCATATCGANTGGTCGGTTTTCTATAATTGCTGCCGGCCTCTGTAACGCTGCGTCTACTTTTGACCGAGTCTGCCAGTCGTTTCTAGGATTGACTAGGCAAAGCCCGAAACAGATTATTTTAGTTTCGACGTTTGACTGAACAGTTTAGGCACTTCTAGGTTTGACTTAGTCAAAGGCCGAAATAAGAATTCACTTCGGGGTTGGCCCGAAGGCTTTGGTCAAACCTAGGATAGACCAGTCATTCCGCGAAGAGACTGCATATCGAACTTTGACTATGACATATGGAAATAGCTCATTAATTAAATTACCTGAAGTAAGCGTGCGTCGGATAGATGACGCGCGTCGCAACGTAGACGCGTCTCCCACCGACGCCGACCACGAGCCGGCGCCGCACGCGCCGCGGGCCCAGGAAGAGAGGCGGCCCACGTCATCACTAGGAAAACAACCTTATTATTACGAGGATTAAGTTTAAATTCAATTCCAAATTTGTACATGTGTAGGTCTTTTTCAGGGCATTTATACACGTCCCGAATACTGCTACTCTACCAACCCTTCAGGACAGCAAAACAACTAGTGCTGAGATTTATTAAAAAGTTGTGAGGTAATTATTAAAGAATATACCATTTGTCCAGCAGTGGACGTCATTTGGCTGAAACGAACGAACGAACGAATACCATTAAAAATACAGTGTAATAAGTGTGAGTTAGGCAAGTAAAACCCATAGTCACATTTGCATTGAGATGTGCGTTCACTTGAAATTAGTTTAATATTTAAAAGTAAAACAAAAAAAGTATACCAAGCGAATCGATAACCTCGTCCTTTTGTTGAAATCTGTTAATGAAATACATATGTTCACTTACTTTTGACTCTCCTGCAGAAGAGTGAGAGCCTTCTTGGTTACAGGGCTCTCGCGGCTTGCCTTTACCCAGCCAGTGACGTCATACAGAACTGGATTGGTGCCCTAAAAAAGAAACATTTCATTATTCTCTTTATAAACAAAATAATATTAATTTAAAATTCTTTCTACAAGTTTTCTTCAAATAGCTCTGAAACTTTATACAGAATCTACAGCCCTTGTCTCTGGATCCAGCTGTGTAAAATACTTGAAGTATGTATTTAGTAGTACGCGCCAATACACTTCGGTAGTTTTGTAAATCAAGCAAGAGCATGAAGTCACATGGTGCACACCCACACTAACCTAATATAGACTGATGCAAGTTCTTTGCAAGTGACGTCACGAGATTTTGTATTTTTAAGGATCTTTGAAAATACAAAGTACTGAATGATTATGATATAATATTTTTCTACTTTCTAGATAAAAATCACTATAGGATGTGTAAACTACTCTGTTAATATCATACCTGCAAGTGCTGTAAGACGAACTGTCTCGCATGAGGCGCCTTCTTGATCAGGTACTGGGTCTGGTTGGGCGCGCCGTAGTGCGTCATCACGCGCTCCAAGAATGTGTCGTCGGACGAGCCAGGGTACATTGACTCTTCGTCCAGCAACCTGGGTGGAAAATTGTAGGTTAAGGATTATGGGAAATGGCTTCTGTGTGGAATTTGATCTACGTGGCAAACGATGAACACTTTTTTTGTATATTTCAGTCCTCTTTCAAGTTTGTTGAAGAAGTCTTCCCAGATCCAATCTAAACGCGCGCGCGCATGTGTGACCTTTATCACTGTATATGTCTCTTTTTCTCTTTATAATGGTGTAAAAAAAAACAGATAATAATAATACTATTACGGATAATACTGCTACGGCAACAAAGTCACCCTTGCACGCGCGGCTTTATTCTAAACATCAAAATCTTTTGAATGCATGAAAACATATCAATTAACAAACGCTCAACGTTCTAGCAGAATTTTAATGAAGTTTGTATAGGAAAGTAAGTTACCACAAGAGGCCGCGGCGGTCGCAGTCTCGTAAGTCAGCCTGCGAGCTGCGCACGATCGTGTTCTGCGGAGACTTGTCCAGGAGCTCCACCATCGGGCCCGGGTTCACTGTCTCGGACAGCCAATCTGCGAAGAAAATAAAGAAATAAATATAAGTCTACTATCAGTAATAAGCGAGCACACACTTAAATCAATTTGGTAATTGACCTCAATATTTGACGGAATATAACATGACGGTTACTTCAAATAAGCCTTTCATTCTAGTCAAGAGATAGCTGGTAATTATTATCAGTAAAATCTGATTATTTGTTTCTTTGGCCTGATGACGTCATTCAAGTTCTCTTTGCTGTACAAAATATACAGGATTATCTATTCTTCTAAAGCCTGGTCCGTGAGCACGTAGAATTTTGTCCAATGACCCGTCAGCTACCCATCGTTATCGCGGACCAGGCTTTAGATATATTACTTTCCAAAGACATTCGAATTTCGATCCTGTCGCTACTGCATAATATGGTAATTTCAGAAACTAATGGCGGCTAATACACCAACCATGAAACCATAACAGTCCCCAAAAACAAAAGTCGTATACCTTCTTCAGCTCCGTCGTCGAGGGTGATGCCTTCCTGCGCGTAGCGTTCCCGCGGCGCTACCAGCATGGCATCGTGGAATACGGCTTGCAGGCGTTCCTGAAGAATAAACATTACTCTAGCTAGAGGCTTCGGGATGATAATATGAGAGATTGTTCATGTGAGCAGCACACAAGGTGATAGTAGAAAATAACGTGATGGACATAACACCCTTCAGAGGTGGAGTTGTGTAAAGCAATCGTAATCATTTGACAGTTCAAACGTACGATAAAGTCAGTTAAACAAAGCGTTTGACAGAATAATCGAACGTTATGAACTGTCAAATGATTAGGATTGCTTTACACAATTCCACCTCAGGTGTCTTAGATAAAGTACCTATCATTCCCGGCAGTTTAATTCTGAAATAGCGTCGTTTCATCTTTTTTAAAAGTGACTCGCTCCGTTCAAACATCTGCCATCGTGAATTTGAATCTAAAAATACTCATTTATTTTTGCAAATAGGCTTTTAAAAAGCACTTTTACACGTCCCAATATATCACAAATGCTACTTTATCTAAAGCCTGGTCCGTAAGCACGTAGAATTTTGTCCAATGACCCCAAGCTACCCATCCTTATCGCTCGAGCGTAATTATGTTGCTGTCGCGCTCGCACACTCACTGCGGGCGCCCGTCGCACAGTCGCGACAGCAATAGAATTACGCGCGAGCGATAAGGATGGGTAGCTTGGGGTCATTGGACAAAATTCTACGTGCTCACGGACCAGGCTTTAGGGGGGCAGCGAAGCTAAACATGCTTAATTTAGGGATGAGTCCATCACAATAGTCCAACAATCGTCGGAGATCGGTGACCTGATTGTCTACAGTTTTTATGTAAGTACAACGAATTGAGAAAAATAAAACTACCTGCAGGTAGTTGGACAGCAGTTTGGACAGCGGCGCGCCGCTCTGCTGGCCGGCGCACATCGGGTTGTCAGCGCCAGGACTGTCTAACAGCAGGACTGAGGCCATGGTCCGCGCTGACGTTGATAGACTCCTGCGCACACAAAAAAGATAATAAATAACAGTTCTAGGAGTCACAAATGACAATACTGCACTTCTGACTAAGAGGTCTGAGATTCCGTATAAACCAACATAAAGGATTTGCCACTTTACTCCGACTTGACCGCAGACCGCATCAAATGTAATAAATCAAATCAAATGTAATAAATGTAAAAATTTTAGATTTTGCAAGGTTTTGAATTTATTATTAATAGCTCTAACGATAGAGGATACTTGGCTTTTATAGCCCCACATAACTTCACATACACACCTCATTAGTTAGAAAAGAAAACTTACCTGTTAACTAGTGCTGCGACAATGTTGAAAGTTTCATTGTAAAGGCCTGTGACGAAAGCATCCAATGCTTCGGTGCCAGAAATCTCTCGCTCGTTTGAAGGCGATGGTGTTCTGAAAGAATACACAACATTCATATCAATATCCTCTGAACTAATACTTTTCAGGACATTTACACTATTATCTTATTAGATACAGTCATGTTAAATTATCGCATACTTAATTTAACGTCTGGGAATCATACCCCAAGTTATTAATCGACTGCGGCGAAATGGGAGTCTCGCATGACTTTTCTACACCTGGTGCTAGATAAAAGCAGAGCTATTCCTTAACGCCATTTACATAGTAGTTCTATCTCTGTCGCTCATGTTGCCATCTCGCTTTACGGAAACGTTTGGGGAGTAGTTCCGCTGACGTATTTGTTCACGACTGTGCGACGGGCGGCCGCAGTGAGTGTGCGAGCGCAACAGCAATATAATTACGCGCGAGCCATAAGGATGGGTAGCTCGGGGTCATTGGACGAAATTCTACGTGCTCAGCGACCGTAATTTAGCTTAAATTTGTGTTTAACGTCTGGGTATTCATACCTCAAGTTGTTAGCCGACTGTGGCGAAGTGGGCGTGGCTCCAGAGAACACGGATCTCGCCAGGTCTTCGGGGGCGACACCTAGCAGTCTCGCAGCACGCTGCCCGCACTCAGTGCTAGCAAACCGGTACGTGACGTGACACGTGTAGCATCTAGGAGTCTCGCGTCACGTTTCTACATATGGTATTTGTAACTGGTGCTACATAAAGGCACGGCTACCTACACCTTAACGCCACTTACATAGTAATTCTATCTCTGTCGCTCATGCTGCCATCTCACTTTACGGAAACATTTAGGGAGTAGTCCAGGTAAATCATTTGTTAAATTATAGCTTACATGTGTTTAAACCTCAAGTTGTTAGCCGACTGCGCCAAAGTGGGCGTGGCTCCGGAGAACACAGACATTGCCAGGTCTTCGGGGGCAAAACCCAGCAGTCTCACGGTAAATTCTTTCACAGATACTTGGAAATGGCACTTACAACCTGATTCTTTAATTTGGTTGTGATATTACTTTAAAGTCTAGGAGTCATACCTCAAGTTGTTAGCCGACTGCGGCGAAGTGAGTGAGGCTCCAGAGAAGACGGATCTCGCCAGGTCTTCGGGGGCGACGCCTAGCAG